TATTGAATTGAATTTTTGATTTTCCCGTCCATTGATTGATTGGACCGAAGTGCTTGGTCTCAAGTTGACATGTCGGCTTCTTGTGCAGATGCTTCGATGTACTGGGTTCGAGCCTCGGTGGGAACATCATCACTCACTGAGAAATGCAGGTACATCCAGCTGACGAGTCCCAATTAGGCCGAAACGCGCATCCTGGATTCCACTGCTAGCCACCATCCACCCATTGTATACTAACTAAATGCCCGGACATCGTCGAAGCATCTGCACAAGAAGCCGACATGTCACCCTGAGACCGAGCACTTCGGTCCAATCAATCAATGGACGGGAAAATCAAAAATTCAATTCAATAAAACACCATTAGTTGAAGGCATCTATGCTACATTTGGAGTGCAAGATATCAGAAAAAGTGAATAAAAAACGAAGCTCTCTGGTAGTGTTTAAAAAATTCATCAAATGTTTACATAAGCCAAATGGATTGTATTGAAATCGACCACCGAATATAGTGCTAAGCTGTTACGGACTAATAGTAAATTCATGGAAAATTCCCTTTCGGGACATAAAGAAAATCAAAACAAGTGATTCAGCGAAAAGAGACTCTTTCCAACAACGAAGTTATTATCAAGCTATACAATCGTATATGTATAGTTGTGTTAGGATATTATATCCAGTGAGGGAATTGAATCATAGGTGTGAATGCCTAAAATAGTAATAATGATAGTATGAAGTGCAATTAAAATTAAAATTAAATTAAAATTAATCATAGTTTAATGTCAAGTAGCCGAACAATTAATGTCATACATAGAATAATTCATAGGATGGATAGAACTTGGAAAGGGTGTGCAATTAGAGGATTAGTAGACTAGGCGAATAGAATAAAATAAAAACGTTACGTAATATTGTGTGAAATTTGATAGCATCGAATCTAACGTTGCAAAACAGGACTGATGTAGAATGATAAGTTAAACAAGTGAAGTAATGCAGGGGACAGTTAAAAGTGAGAATAGTAATTGTAGCAACAATTGACTTAATAAAGGGAGAGTAGGCAAATTAAACAGACAAAACAAAGAAATTGGTACAGCCAAAATATGATTAAGTATTACCATACTTTAGCATAGAGCGATTAAGAACATGAAAGATTGAAGTGGTTGAACGAACCTTTTTCTGTACACAGAGATCTGGCCTTTCTATTTCCATAGCTGTAGAGATAGTGTGATCATTATCAAACATCTGTTCGATAACCGTGCTTCTTATTGCTCTACTTCCATCTCTTCGTAACCACTATGATGGATAGGGTTCTTGCATCCTCTTGGAAAAACCCAAGCCAAAGGACAGATATACCTAGCTCCAGACGGTCAGGTCAGCTGTGGGATCTTATCCTTCAGGTTATTGAACAGTAATGGCATCCATCGAGTACCATACAAACTGCCGAAAGCCTCCATGCACTGCATACTCCAGACAGCAGAGGCTATTGCAATTCGCATAAATCAACCAGTGTTCTGTGTACAGAAGAAACAGGTGCAGGCAGTCACTATTACTGCCCTGGCCCTCCACCGAGTCTATAAATTCATGAGTTCATTATTATTTTCCCTAATTTCTCTGAAATTTAGTTTATAGTTATGTTGATGCCAGTGAAATGTAATCTATTTATATTATTGATTCGATGTTATTTAAACAGTATTAATGTTGTTCATGACACTAATTCATTCACTATAATGTATAAATAACTGTAGAACCTAATGATGAAGCTATCGAAAAGAGTATTTTTGTTCACTAATGATTCTCTTAAGAATGAGTAAGCGAAACTGATGTGACCGTTAATACACTTAGTAGTTGCGCTAATGAATTTCCTACTAAGTCGATTCATGAGCCAGTTGTTCAAATTAATATTGATAATTTTGATGTGGTTTTGTTCTCTGAGCTGGATGGTTAGTTTGCGAAGCTTTCATCACCTTACTGGGTGACATCTTCAGCGCATACTTCAATTTGAAGTGAGCTTTTAGATTTCTCCACGAGTTTATTAATCATCTCTCCTGGTGACCTTGGACGTGATTGGTTGTTTGTGTGTGTTTTCACACCTTCTAGGTTACTTGTATTGGAACCGGTTGTTTCTTTGACTTGAACTTTGACCCTTTGTGTGTGAAGTTTCTTTCTTATTGGTTGATAAATTTTGTCTATCTCGATGTGTCTATTGATTGATGATTCACTGGAATGCCAAGCTTCTAAAAATTCTCTAGCATTCTTGTTATTTCCTTTGTCTAATATTTGAACGTTGTCCCAGTCGAATTGATGTCCGTAGTTGTCTGTGTGTAGTGAAATGAGGGAGTGGATATCATGTCTTTTGACGGCTAGCTTATGTTCGTGGATACGAAGACGAAGGGGACGTCCACTTTGGCCGATGTAGTGTTTTTCGCAGTTGTTACAGTTTATTTTGTAGATGATGTTGGTTTTGTCTTCTTTCGCTGTTGAGTCTTTTGGTTGACATAGAATTGAGTGCAGCGACTTTGTTGGTTTGTGTACGACGTCAATTCCTAAAGGTTTGAAGAGTCTTGTAGTGATTTCTGAGATATCCTTTATATATGGTAAGGCAATTTTCTTTGTGCTTTCCTTGGTGGCTTTTGCTTTGGTAGGTTGGCTTGGGGGTATATGTCTCTTGATGAAATTCCGTGGATATCCATTCTTTTGGAAGACGTCCATGAGATACTTTTCTTCAATTTTTCTTAAGGTGGGAGTGCTGCAGTGAGTCCTTGCTCTCTTGAATAGTGTTTGTATGCAATTCCTTTTGTGTGTTATTGGGTTGTTGCTGTTGTAATTCAGTATTTGGTCTGTGTGAGTTGATTTCCTATAAACTTGAGTTTCTAATTCTCCTGTAGTTGTTCGCCTGACTAAGACGTCCAAAAATGGTATTTTGTTCTCGGATTCCTCTTCTCTTGTGAATTTGATGTCGTTGAAGACGTTGTTTATTAAGTTGTGAGTTTTATCTAATTCGTTTCTTTTGATTATTACAAATGTGTCGTCGACGTAGCGTATCCAAATCTTGGGTTTGATCTTTGGTAGAATTATATTTTCGAGTCTTTGCATCACTGCTTCTGCAATCAAACCTGATATTGGCGATCCCATGGGTGTTCCTTTGACTTGTTCATATATTTGGCCGTTGAATTGGAAGTATGTTGTTAGGCATAGATTTATGCATTCCATCCAGCTTGTGTGTTGCATTTTTGATTGTTGTGGCAGTTGTTCGTCGTTGCTAAGTAATTGCTCCATGGTTTCTTTTGCTAGGTTTTGTCCGATGAGGTATATAATGCTGTCACGTCGAAGGATACCATTATTTCTTGTTCATCTATTTGGATGCCTCTGATTTTCTCTAGGAATTGGATAGCAGAGTTGATGGAGTGATCGCAAGATTCCGTTAGGTGTTTTAGTTTTCTGTATAATTCTTTGGATAAATTATATGTTGGAGTTCCTGGGAGTGATACAATTGGTCGTAATGGGATATTTGCCTTGTGTATTTTGGGTCTGCCGTAGAATCGGGGTAGGACTGGTCCATTGGATTTCATTCGCCATTGGTCTTGTTTTGTGATCTGTCCAGTTTTGGTGAGCTTGTTTAAGGTCCTTTGGATGCGGTTATCCAATGTTTGTATGGGATTTGTTGGGAGTTGTTGATATACATCTTCATCTTTGAGTAGTTCTTCAGCTTTCTTGGTATATTCTTCTCTGTCCATGACTACTGTTGTTCTTCCTTTGTCGGCTGGTAAAATGACGATGTCCTTCCTATTTTTCAGCTTTTTGAGGGCCTTTAGTTCTTGAGCGTTGAGTTGTGTGTGTTGTCTTTTCTGTTTGACCATTGGTACAATTGTTTGGCGTATCTCTTCCTGTGTTTCCTCGTTCAAGTTTGATGATTTGAGTAATGATTCAAAGGCAGCGAAGAAATCAGTTTTTGAAGCATCTCCGGTGTTGTAGTTTAATCCTTTTTGTAGTAGTTGTTGTTCCATTTTTGATAGTGGTTGTTTTGATAGGTTGACTACGCAGTCTATGGGCGTATTGTCTGGTTGTTGTTTTCTAATCTTGGCTAGCTTGGTTTTGAGGACTCTTCGTCTTTGTTCTCTGTGTTTTTCACTTGACAGTGTAATTGCGGTGATCAGCGTTGACAGGTGTTCCTGGTTGAGGGTTTTCTCTAATTTTGCTTTTTGGATATCTATAATTTGTTGATTTTGTTGATCCGATAATGTGCGTCTGTAATCATTAATTTGACCATTCGTCTTCCACATTGTTCGGCCAATTTCCATCCCATTGGGCAGTTGACTGGTGGTTTGTATCTTACACTGTTTGGTAGGATTGAATGACGAAGGCACTCATGGAGAAAGAATAATTGTTCTCTGGTGGATCCTTGCCTTTTGGCGAAGTCTTCCCACTTTCGAACAGAGAGAAGCGTATCCCGCTCGTAAGTAACCTAGAAGGTGTGAAAACACACACAAACAACCAATCACGTCTAAGGTCACCAGGAGAGATGATTAATACAGTCGTGGGGAAATCTAAAAGCTCACTTCAACGAATTGAAGTATGCGCTGAAGATGTCACCCAGTAAGGTGATGAAAGCTTCGCAAACTAACCATCCAGCTCAGAGAACAAAACCACATCAAAATCATCCACCTGAGCTACAAATCTTCTCTATCATAATATTGATAACAACATCAATACGATACCACCGGAAACCCGACTCAAGAAGACCAGAAGATAAAACCGACCGTTGACGTGGTAAGTTTTCACTGTCCCGTATCAACAGTGAAATTGATTAGCAGCTCTTGTGTATATTTGTATATGCTGTGAACGACCTTGACAGACAGTAACTACACTGATAAATAAAAACAGTCAACAACCAATAGGATTTCAAGGGCGTAAACTGGGTGAGAGAAAACTAGGTCTGTAAATCAATAAATGGTGTGATTATATATTTCTTGTTGGCTAAATTTTCTCTCTGTTATTTTTCATTGTCAAAAATTTAGTTGAAATTAGAGACAATGGATCATGAAAAAGATCAAAGTGTGCTGAATAGCTTGATGGATGGTGTTCCAAATTATGCACAACCTGATCCAATGAAACATAGAGACAAGTCGATGGTTAAACAAGATGGTGGAGAACAAAAAGGCGAGGCAGTGAATATTAAAAAGATATATCCACCTGAGAATGGTCAATTACAGAATAATTCAGATGGTGTAGGTTTGTTTTTGTCTGTCTGTTTATTTGTTTTTGTCATGATTTGAGATCCTTTAAAGAAACTGTCCTCGTCAGTAGTGGTGGAACGACAGAAGACAACGGCCAGACAACAGATCGTTTATTGAGAAAATCAAGAGATATTTATAGATTTTTATGTAGATTATTATTAGCGTTATTGTTAGCAGAAAAGCAACGTCTTCTGATTAGTCATTAATCTGTCATCTCTTTGTGACCATTCGTTTGAAGGTCATACCATATATATATATGCGGATCATATCCGCCCACACAAAGTCTGCTGTGATTGGTTGTTGAGTTAGTCTTTGTTCTCGTTTTTTTCTCATGACCATTATTTGGGACGTAACCATTTGCGTAAATGCCTGCCTACCAATTTCGGCTACAGATAGCTCTCAACACGGTGGAAGCTATTTTAAAGCTATTCTACGAAGATTAATCGTATCTTCTGGATGAAATGAAGTATTTATTGGACTAATGGCTAGCATATAGTTAGTGTAACTTGTAGCTTGGCCGTCCTTACTCCTCTTAATCAACAGGTTCTATCAAATACTAAATTTCAAAATATTACTCTGAATCTCAGGCTATTATGATGTCTGTCTTGGTGTTCGGATAGTTAAGCATTGATTGTGCAGTGTAGAATAAGGTTGAACAATTAAACTGTGTTTTTCAAAAATGGTGTTGTCATAACTATTTATTCCTTATGTTCTGCTTGGAAAATAGGACTTCGATAGCTCATCTCACTTGGACATTTACTGGCTGCACGACTGCCCACAGGATTTTCTTTCCCGCTTACATGATCATTTCCATATCAGCCTAGGAGCCATCTCTCTCTCTCTCTCATCACTTCTCAATCGGGTTTTGCTTCAGTGTGTCGTTACTCAGCCATTTTCGCAGCTTATGTCCAGTGTCTCCTTTCCCTTTCTGCATATCTGTTGGTAGATAAGTAATTCGTTGAATTTCTTTCAGAGTTCCATGATGTTCATCCTGTTGATGAAAGTCTGTAACTGGCTGTTGGAAATTCTCTTCGTGTCACGCCAAGTTTCTGACCAGCATAGAGGAACTGACTGACTTATTATTTTTGTATTGAAAATCCGATTATTGTTCTACATACTGGCTGGCTGATTACAGGAGAATATTTTTTACAAACTGATTTCGGATTAATGGAGCTGTATCCCGCCTTTTCGTTACTGTCTGGCTTCGAAAACTTCATCCATCCCACCCGCTTTTAGTTGAAACCATGCTTCGTAGCCAGATAATTGAAAGAAGTAATCTTTGTCAAATCTCTCCCGTTGATGGTGATTGGTGAGATGGTTGTTGTTACTGTTGCTGTTGAATGGTTGGTTGGTTATCTTTATCACCTCTTTCTTCTCCTTGTTCAACTGGAGTACTGTATTTGTGGTGCTGCTTCTTCAGCCACTTTGTCCCTGCAAGTCTAAGGGTTTGTGTGATATTAAACATCAATCATCCACACGCAAAATCCAGATCTTCTAAAATCTTCTATTGCGTCATTGCAGCGTATTCCTGTCTTCTCACTCACACCCAAAGCATAGTCTGACGTAGGATACAGTCCATTGCCATTAGGAATGTCATCGTCGTGGATAATAGATAGCCAGCCAGCCTAGTCTTACTCCCTCATTCACTTCAAAAACCGGCTTCTCTGAGTCTTTCATTGTGGATCACCTAGTACTTGCCAGACATTGTCAAACAGCGATATGACAGAGAAGATTTGTAGCTCAGATGGATGGTTTTGATGTGTGGTTGTGTTCGCTGAGCTAGATAGTTAATTTGCCAAGCTTTCATCACTCTACTAGGTGACATCTTCAGCGCATACTTCAATTCGTTGAAGTGAGCTTTTAGATTTCCCCACGAGTATATTAATCATCTCTCCCGGTCGGTGACCACCTTGGACGTGACTCTTTGTTTGTTTTCGTGTGTTTTCACACACCATCTAGGTTACTTGTATTGGAACTGATTATTTCTTTGACTTGAATATTGTCCCTTTGTGTGGGAGGTTCCTTTCTTATCGGTTGATAAATTTTGTCTGTCTCCATGTGTCTATTGATTGATGATTCACCGGAATACCAGTCAGGCTTCCAAAAATTCTCTAGCATTCTTGTTGTTTCATCTGTCTAATATTTGAACGTTGTTCCAGTCAAACTGATGTCCGTGGTCGTCTGTATATAGTGATATTAGGGAGTGGATAACATATCTTTTGACAGCTAGCTAGAAAAGAAATATACCCTCAAGGCAACCTATCAAACCAAAAGCCCCCAAGGAAAGCACAAAGAAAATCGCCTTACCATATATAAAGGACATCTCAGAAATCACTACAAGACTCTTCGAACCTTTAGGAATCGACGTCGTACACAAACCAACAAAGTCACTTCCCTCAGCTGGCTCCATGTCAACCGAAAGACTCAACAGCGAAAGAAGATAAAACCAACATCATTTACAAAATAAATTGTAACAACTGCGAAAAACACTACATTGGCCAAAGTGGACGTCCTCTCCGTCTTCGTATCCACAAACATAAGCTAGCCATCAAAAGACATGATGTCCACTCCCTCATATCACTACATACAGACAACCACGGAAATCAGTTTGACTAGGACAACGTTCAAATATTAGACAGAGGAAACAACAAGAATGCTAGAGAATTTTTGGAAGCCTGACTAGTATTCCGGTGAATCATCAATCAATAGACACATGGAGATAGACAAAATTTATCAACCGATAAGAAAGGAACCTCACACACAAAGGGACAATATTCAAGTCAAAGAAATAATCAGTTCCAATACAAGTAACCTAGAAGGTGTGTGAAAACACACGAAAACAACCAAAGAGTCACGTCCAAGGTGGTCACCGACCGGGAGAGGTGATTAATACACTCGTGGGGAAATCTAAAAGCTCACTTCAACGAATTGAAGTATGCGCTGAAGATGTCACCTAGTAGAGTGATGAAAGCTTGGCAAATTAACTATCTAGCTAAGCGAACACAACCACATCAAAAAATATTGTCAAACAGTGAGCTTAGGTCAAGTCAGGTGGGGTAGAAAATAAGAAGGTTGAAAATGCAAAATATTACAATTGAGAAGACAAAATAATACTAAGAAAGAGAGAGAAGACAGGAAAGATTGCAAGTGTAGTGCTTCAACGAACTCCTTCTGTTTGAAGAGTTCAGGACATAGCAAATGAATTACCATTGCTTCTGCAGTTTGAATAAGTCTGATTCGTAGACTTTTAGGAAGACTGCTTTGTATTCTGTAGACTGCTTTAAAGTTTGTTTGGGGTGTAGCTTGGTGTCCAGATTTGGCTAATAAAGGCTTGAGACACGCTGTGTTTATATTACCATCGACTAAATTGATCTTTGTGTGGAACCAGTGTAGAAATTTAGTTATGAAACTGTTTTTTCTTCAACAAATTCGAAATGGAATACTGCTGAGCTGACTTCCTGCAGATGTGGACTATAAATTATCTGTCATGCCGCAAGTAATTGGTACTTCACAGTCAGTGAGTGTTCTTTCAGCAAAACCGAAAGAAGACGTAATTTACTTGAAATGTGGTATGTCTTTATTTATTTCCCAACACATTTCCGGCATTCTTAGCCCACCTGCACTTGTTATACAAATTTATACAGATGCAAAGAGAGAGAGCATAGAGGATCGCAGTTTTTATCACTACTATAGGTCGAAATTCCCATTTATGCATTTAGAAAAATTCAGCGGATTGAGCGAAGAAATATGCATTCCTTCACTTCAATTAGTTTCTTATCATTGGCTCTAGAAACTAATATGTATGTAGTCCTTTTTTACATCTAAATGTTTTACCAGTCAACAGGTTGTTTTAGTTAGTCAATTTTAGATATAGGCGGGTGAAATGAAAAGATTCAAACTCATCAAAACATCATTTAACTAATAGATGTTAGTAACAAGATATCTAAGATTCTAAGGAGCGCGGATTGAAAATTAATTAATTAATTAATTAATTACGGAATTCAGGAATTCAGTTAATTCTTAGGCAAACAAACAAGTTAAGAGGATTCACTAGAATTGTAAAACTAAAAAATTTAATTTGTAAAGAAAGCAATGACTCTATCTTTGTCTTTCATTATTCTCTAATTGAATGTCATTTAGTTTCTTTTTCATTTCACATGAATTAGTCAGCCTAGAGTTTGAACGATTTATGAGGGTGTACCAACAGAAGACAAGGACCGGCAACAGGTCATTTCATTACGGAAATCAGCACGTATTTATATATACATTTCATGTACATTTTTATAGCTTTTTCAAGGAGATAAACACAGTTTTCTGATAGATTGTTTCTGGTTTCTCGGAAAGTTAAGCAGACAAACGCAGTCTTCTGATTGGTTGTTTCGGGTTTCCTCGGAAATTGGAGCCATCTATCTGCGAATCATATTTGCCCACGTTAAGTGTTCTGTAATTGGTTGTTGAATCAGCCTTGTTCATCTTTTCTCACGGCCAATATTAATTATCCAGACACTGACGTAGATTAATGTCTACCAATCGGTTAGCAGCCTGCTCTCACCACAAGGGGATATAATATTAGAGCTAAGTGTTTTAATAATTCAGAAGTAAGGGTGATTTTGAAATCTACCAATGGTCGTCTGGGGGTAATCTGGCTTGTGTATTTTAATAGTACCACATATTCTACTAGCATTATTAGTTTTAGGCATTAAATTAAACCATTTTGACTCACCTAGTGACGGCTTTATTCTGTGTATTAGTTCTGTTGTGAATTTCTTAACCTTATTCATTATTTTATCTACAGGCCTCCAGAGTTGTTTTATTTGCTAAGTTCCAAGCATTTGGGCTTAACACCAAGGTCCTAGACAAGACCCTTGAATAAATTGATGGGATGAAAGCTAAAATCATGTCACGTATGAGATATTGATTATTTATTAGTAATTTTTCAGACGTTAGGGTAGAGAGAGACGGTTCTTTTCTACAAGTTGAACTTTTCTCAT